CTAGAAACGTTGCGTCATAGTAGTCATGTGACTCGCTGACGCAACAAAGGGTATTGATAATATAGATCCATTAAACTTTTTTGTGTTTAGCAGTAAAAACAACCGGACAAGGGGTCAGAAATTCAAATTTTGGGAGCATAGGAGTCTCAGTTTAGACAGTACTACTTTTCAAACAGGATGGTTGGCTTTTGGAATGACCTGCCTTCAAGGGTGGTGGAGGCACAAAATTTAAATAAGTTCAAGAAAAGATTGGATGAATACATGAGTAGTAAGGGGTGGTTATAGTTGGAAGCTAAAAGGACATACTTGATGTGCTAATAAGTTCCTTTAAAATGTTATGAATTTATGAATCAATAGGGCTCAATGGTTGGTTTTCAAAGGTTTTGACATGTTTAAACCATTTTAATTGTAGTTTTAAAATGTCGTAGATCTAGATTTAACTTTTATGTACATATATATAAAGGCAACAAGCGATGTAGGCCTATTTAATTTAGAAAAAACTGGTTGTAAGCTGTACGATCTGACGAAGAGCGCTAGCTCGAAACGTCATCCTTCTTTAAATAGAATATAAAAAACTTTGCGATTGTTCAACCTATTATTTAATTTTGATATCTTTGTCGCCAATGCGGTTATAACTATATGTTTCATTTGTTTTTATTTAATTTAGAAACTTCAGATGATTATGTATACCACAGTTATTATTTACCATGGTTCCCGATACTCGTTAGGCTATAGACTACAGTACATGTAGAGAAAACTTCGTCGACCTAACGTAACAGGTTTTTCACAGACCGGTTGAATATTATATTTAAAACGTTTCCGAAGGTAAATCTAGTAATTCATATTATCTGTGATAAAAACCATTTCATCACAACGGTGCTTTAAAATATAAAAATTTATATCTAAGTAATTAATATCATATCTAGTTTCAACAACTGTCGGACCAACCGGTAATAATGGCTATGAAACTTACCTTCAGCCCCGTGAATGTAGCCCTGTAAGAAAAAATTATACGCTCTGCCTGATGTCACTTTAACGGCCTTTTGTTTGGCGATTAAGTCCTTGATAACATAAGCGAGAAATACGGGTCACACATAGCGGTTCTATTCATACAGTCGCTATGTTTCCGTAAAGCTGCAGTAGGTCTAGCCTAGTTTGAGCTGGCTTCATTGTGATCGTCAATGAGGCCTATATTCCTATACATAATATTTTCGGAATCTGCGTTTTTTGATACTGTACCTAAAATATATCAGTGTAATTAAAATACCCAGGTTCAGTCTAAGCTGTTATGCAATATAATTATGTTATCAAAAATAATAAAAACAAATTTTTCATTTGTTTGCAAAAAAAATTATTATGATATTCATTGTTTGTTTATATTTCACTTTTTTGATATGGATTAAGTAAATTAAATGGAAAAAATTAATCATAGTAAAGTGTAGTTTTATAGTTTACTGCAGTCTTTTGCAATTGGTTAGGTATGGTCTGCTTGTTAGGGCTTTCGACTCGCGGTCGCTGTTCAGATCCCTTCCCCGAACATGCTGGCCTTTTCAGCCTTGGGAGCGTTATAACGTGATGGTCAGTCTCACTTTCTCACTTTTCGTTGGTAAAGGGTAATCCAAAAGTTGGCGGTATTGACTAGCTGTCTTCCCTCCAGCCTATCACTTCTGAATTAGGAACAGCTAACTAGGACAGACAGCCCTCGAGTAACTTACAGCCAAATTCAAGAAACAAACAAATTTTCTGCAGTTATCATTACTAATGTCAAGTGACATAATTCTTGCACGAGATATTGAAAGAACCAGAGGCGTCGCTAGGTACTTAAAAGAATCGGAGCTGAGGTCCATAGGCGCGGGAATTTTCGGCTTTTTAAGTATGATGTCGACCACGGTTTTCTATTCTGATTTTTCAAGACACTAACAGGGGATTTGGGACACCGTCAAATAGAACCAGGGCACGGGCCTTGTGAGCTAGCGCCTAGCGACGCCTCTGGAAAGAACGCACAAAGTAAATATTTCATTTTACTATTATTAATAATGGTAATAAATTCTATAACGCTTTTCGTGAAATTGTTGTTTTCCGTTTTACCTCTATTTGTCGATTTAAATAAACCATGACAATTTGCTTAAGACAAACGCTTAAATATTAGGTGATGTTATATGCCCTATACACGCTCGCAGTTATGACGCATGCGCTTTGACTTCTTGAGCTATGATTGATTGTATAGTAAAGGCGTATGCGAATTTGGATTTTCATTTTATCTTACTTTATGTTATTCTTATTATTTTTTTTATAAAAATCTAGCTGTTATTTTTTTCTACTTATCTAGTGTTCGTAAATAAGATATTGTAACGGCGCAGTTGAGAGAGACTAAATAAATGGACAGTACGTCCATTATAACCCAAATTAACCGGGAAGAAGAGAACATTTACTTCCCACCAAAGAAAGGTGAGATAGAGTGAACGTGAAGTAGTTAATTTTACATAACTGAAAGTTTTGTTATAGTTATAAATTATAATACATTAGACTTTCTTATTCATATCATGAAATGTGCACTAGTTATAGTATTTTGTTAGAAATTGTTTCTGAATTTTAGACTAATCTACAGACGAAGTGACATTGACAGTAAATATTATTAATAATAATAATAGGATTTTTTTACAAATCAAAGAAACTGGAAAAAGAATTGAATACCAGATTTAGAAGTTAGAGTGCGTCAGTTATTTTATTTTTACTGAATTATAATCTGTAATAAAGACTAACTGTTGTTCATTAGTTGTGATACTGTACTTGTAACTTGTACTGTTGTAGTGTAGTTTACTTAGGCCTACTCCCAATGTTAGTTGCTTGGTGAGGATAGCGCTAGTACTACTAGTAGTAGTATTACTATTTGGCTAGAGGACACAATAATTATCAAATGGTTATAAAACTATAGTGATTTCAAGTACAGTAGTAGGAATGTTATAGAAAAATGTGCCATGTAGCTGTCTGTGAAAAGCCAAGGATAGTTGATCAGGGATATATTATTATTAAAATAAGGTACAGGTAATGCATTTGGAAATACAGAGTTGTTAAATAGTAGCCAGTCACAGACTGCAAGAAATATGCCTCATTCATCAGCATCTTGGTCAATTTGTTGTCGAATTTATCACATGGATGAGGAACATGCCATAATAATCATGCTAACATAAAATATCAATGTATGCCAAGAATATCAAATGAAATATATAACATACTTTATATACATATATATATATATATATATATATTTACATATATATATATATTTACATACTTTATGCAAGAATTTGCAATGGCGGCACGAGTTTGTATTGTGATAAAGCTTTTTGACACTACTTTCATGGCACCATGAAAATGGTTACTGGGAATTAAGAAAAATTAATGAAAAGGTGCAACAACAAAAGATTATGAATTTTTGTTTTTCTTATTGTATGTATGTGTAGGTTAGTAATATAATAAAATCTGTTATGTTATTATACGTTGTATGATAAGTAAAAGTATATTGTGGTAAGCTTTATTTTCAATGTTTTGATTTAAATGTATGTCAGAGGGTGAATGATGTTATGATCTGAAAAATGCATGCAGTGAGTAGAAGGTAAGTGTGGTATAAATATGAGTAAAGTAGTGAATCAGTGAGTAAGGAATGAGAAGTTAATCAGCAGTGTGTGATTCAGTTTGACAATGTAATGTCTAGCAAAGTAATTCAGAGCCATAATGCAATTCCACTTTGAATGTGGCTGCTTCCTTCAATGCTAGTTTATGTATCCTAGTTTTATAATTATATCACCAAGCTGTTAATGATTGACGTTGTATGTTTATTTTAATTTCTATGGGTTTTTTAAATGAACTAAAATGTGGAAGGAAGAAAATTAAACAATGAAAGCCATGCTAAATTTGTTAGCAATCTATGGTATTTGTATTTGACATAAAAATTGCATGTAATTCAAAATAAATTTTCTAGACTTTTAATTAGATACAAAATGTTTTTCTTTATTTGTATTATGAAGAAATTAAGTTTACTTAATTCCATTTTTCTCCCTGTAACATAACATCATGAACTATTTGGTCCTTTAAGACTGTCTCTGTACATCCACCCCTTAGAAAACAGAAAATTTAAATGAAATTTTTTTTGTTTTTAAGATGCCAGTGTCCACTACTATTGACAGCAACTCTGTTCATAAGATAATCACCCTGTTAGAAAAATTGCTCTTACGTGGAGGACCCTAGCCTGTCTTTTCTGTATCTTAAACTTGTGTACTCTTGTCCTGATGTTTTCACAATGCAGTACAAAGAAATCAGGTGCCGTGTTATGTTGTTAGTAGTAAAACTAATAACATTTTAGGGTTTATTTATAGACATATAGATTACAAGTCAAAAGAGAAAACTGTCTACAGTTTTTGGTCGCTCTATCTAAGTAGGGGTATTAACTTTTTGGAAAAGATTCAAAGGAAGTCCAGTAGGATGATTCTGGGGATGGAATGATTATTTAGATTAATATTTCTTAATTTATTTTATCTTGAGAAAAGAAGAGTAAGATGTGATGTTTACATGATTATCCAGTATGTTGATATGATAAATATCTCTGATACCTTCTGCTTATTTTGAAGATAAAACAACACATGTATAAGATTTGGAAAAAGACAGGCTAGGCTCCAGTTTAGATAATTCTGTTTTTCTGGTGGCGTAATTGGTTTGTGGAGAGAGTTGCTGTGGGCAATGGAAAAAGCTAACAATTTACAGTTAAGAGAGAAATTCATAATTTTATGTTTAAATGAAAGGGATTGGTGTGCAGGGACCAAATTGACCTTTATTGTCTATTTGTTAAATAATATTGTCTTTCATATCCATGTATTTATTTAACAAGTGTTTGAAATTCATACTAACTCTAGAAACCACATTATCAAGTAATTCATTCCACAAAATTATAACTCTTAACTTAAAACGAAAGTGTTAAACAATGAGTGTATCTAATCTTCCACTCCTTAAATCTGTGATTCTTAACATTCAAACTTGTTTCCAACCTTTCTATTCCATTCGCATAACCCGTAGAAAAATTGTTATTGTTTAAACCCTAACAAATTTTAACATTTGAGTCTGTTCTTCCAATTCTTATGCGCTCTAAAACTTGTAAGTCTCCTCTTATAGCATATCAGAAACCAAATATCATTCTAGTGGTCTCTCTCTGCATTTTTTCCAACAGGTTCATATTTTTCCTGTAATAAGGAAATAACACTGCTCAGAGTACTCCATATGAAATTTCAACAGTCTAGAACAAGACTTCATTTATACTGATGATAACTGACATGCATGAATCCCAGCTAGACAGGTCCCACAACCTTGCTCTGATTTATGAACATTCCTGACCAGCATTTGTATTGAATACAGAATGTTGTGTAAATCATCTACTTGTGTATATTAGTTACAGTTCATGTACCCGGTTACTTTGGTCTTGTATCTATAAGCCATCGTACCAACATTTTAGCCTGGAGGATTCTAGTCATAAGAATCACTTTAACCTTCCACACCTGGGTCTGGCTCATATATACATCATATGTTTTACAGTATTAATCCTTTCCTTATGGGTAGGTCAAACTGCATGTTATGACCTTTTACAGAATTATATTTAAAATTTAATTAAACTACTTTATTATCAATGTCTGTGAATAAACTTGGCATCAAAATGTAGTCAATAAATCAGTTTTTGATATTAAATAAGTTTTAATTCTTAAGTTTGCAAGGAAATATGTAAATAAATCCTCAATCTGTTCTGGTATGAGAATTGTAAAAATTTTTTCTATGTCTTCCTCCTCGTTTAATTTATTTACCATCCCTCTCTGAAGTATGAAATGTAATGTAAATTACTCATTATAATATAAATATTACTAAGACAAAGTGTAATTTTTATACTTTTCAATTTTATTTGTTTACAGAGCCATAAACTAGAAAATCGGAACCAATTGCCATGCCCACCTGTCATATCCTCTCTTTCACAAATAACTAATAACTCTGACATTTGATATCACTTATAACCAATATTAAGGCTAATTTTTAATCTATCAGTGTGTAATGATACATTATTTTCAGTGCAATATGTTGTTAATTTCGTCTTCAGTTTGAAAGTTTACGTTGTAGTGTTCAAATTGAGAAGCTAAGAAAATAATTTTAAGCCTTACTTGTCTTAGTTAGAATACCACTTAAATTATAATAGTTATAGAAAATTGTTTGCTTTGCATGTGCTATTATTGTGTGTTCTTATATGCATTATTTAAGTAAATATAAATTTATTATACTAGTACTGTTGTTATAAAAAGAGTAGATTTAAATTTCATTGACCACTGATGGCTAAAAAACAAGAGGTCAAAGGTAAATATTATATTTCTTGTTTTTTATGTATATTTGTTATTTATTTTGCAAAAGTAACTAAAATATAAAAATGGGGAACTTATTAGGTTAGATTAGGTAAGATAATGAAAAATAGTAAATAATAATAAAAATTCTTCATGAGATATGCTCACAAGCAGATCATGCATTATGTCATTCAATTTGGTAACCTGAGCTATGTATGGCAGGATTATTTGCTACACGCAGTTCAAAGGGCTGTAAAACAAAATAAGTTAGAAACAGATGTAGACTGTTATGAGCCTTAAGCTATTTTGGATAATTGTAGTTTCTGAAACAATACCTCACCTCCATGCAAAGAATATTCTGATATCTTGCACATTTGCTTATGAGGTTTGCTAACTCCCACCTAAAAATCATGTGTTTAACATGAACTGTGCTTGTGCATGATACTGTCATGTAATGATAGCCCTCCACCAATAGGAGGGTTACATAACATCCTTGCACAGTAACTCCCCCTAAGCACTTGCATTTGAAACAACTTAATTTTTTCATCGACATTGTCTATTATGCGAGATTTGCGATTCTTTACAAAACTTAAATTTCATATAAATATCTCTGGTTTCTTTTATAATTAAAGAAAAAGAAACAAAAACAAAAATCTTTTTTTTCTTGCTTACCCATTATGAATTCTCAAGTGATAGTAATTTCATCTTTGTCCTGTGATAGTGATGATGTTCCTAAAATGGGACCTGTGTTTATTGTGGCTACTGAGAGCTTGTCTGTGGAAGACATGACAGCCATTGTCCAATGTGTTGTGGGTTCCTTCATGCACAATGGGCCTCCTCTCATCCTTCAGCTGACATTCCTTCTCCCCAATTTGAGCATGATCAGGATGAGTTAACTTGTTATTTTTCCCCACTAGGGTTTGCTCTAGGTAAAGCTTTATCTGTGTAAGTAAGTACTCACCTTTCTGATCTCTTCTTTGATCTAATTTTGCAGTTATGTTTTTTCTTTTTCCTTTTTGTCTTTTGATCCCCTCTCCCTGTGCTTTGCTGCATGAGACCCATACTCAAGACTACTTTGTC